TTGGGTCATTTCCAAGGCCTATTGCAACACAAGTAAAGCAAGTAATTATTGCATATCGAGGCAATGGTCAGGAGTGTATGTAAAGCATTGATCTGGTCAGTGTCCCATACCTCGCCACTACACCACGTCTCATTTGCGATTCGGGCTTCTAGCACTTACTGTAACACATATTATCACTGTAATTATATGAGACATATTGACTATGTTACGAGAACTTGCATGGTCATGATCACACGGCTCTGCGCTTGCCATGGCTGCACCATCTTTTCAGAAGCCCCTTGAAAGAGCTTCTTGTGATTGCTACTCTGAATATGCCTTGCCCTCTTCCCCAATACAAAGTTTGCTTGGTTCTCGCACAGAAACTCATATCAAAATCACAATGTTGCTTTACTTACTGTGCAGAAGAATGTCCGTGTGCGAGGTGACTGAGGAGATTGGGTGGCGCTGATGACGCATGAGGCTTGGCTGAGACTCAACTAGCCAACTGTGTTCAAACAGGCGGCTGAAATGGACTATGTGACAATTGACTATATAGGGCGGCCCTGCCAACATGTTCATTAAGTAAGGACGATCGAAAAGCCCAATCCACGCCTTCTGGAGACGCCTTCTGAAGCTACAGGCAGAGAACTCAAAGCAGCTGGGGCAGTCATCGAAGCTATCAATGCAAACTGCTAAAACGTTTTCGCAGCCTGGTCGGCGACAGGAGGCCTCACCTACAATGAAGATATTGATGATATAGCATGATATGATATAGCTCTATAGTACAAATCAAAGGTTCAGCGGCGTCTAAGGAGCTTGCACGTGGTGGTTCAGGGGAACGGCTAACCTCTCGAGCTCCTGAAAAAGTTTGTAGACAGTGTCTTGGTTCAGCAATGGAGCTTCAGCAACTTGAACTAGCTCGAGCATGGGAAGGTAGTGGTAAATGCCCAAAACATGGATTCGGATGGTTGCGGGGGTGGGCTTCCTACAAAAGACTGTCTGGCCAAGGAAGGTGTGCACTGTGTATGCAAGTCCGCTTTCTCTACGCCTCCGCTGCAAGAAGTTCCATAGGGCTGCCAAACTGCTGTCTTCTAATGCCAAACAAAAAAACAAGCAAAAAAACTACAAGCAGAAACATCAACGAACATAACATCAAATTGAGCCAGAATCCGCCCCACAATACAAATCACTTGCGGTCACTTGCGCTGATGTATTCTTGCTGCTGACGTTTCAATCTATCTTGGTTGACGACAAACACATCCCCTGTCCTGGCTTTCGGACTGGAGATGCTCGCCCCGGCTTTGTACCTTGCGCGAGGGTTTTCAAGAAAAGCACCAAAAAAAAGGCTTTCAAAACATCCTTGGAGACTCAAAGACAGATATGAAACAATGGAGCCTCAATTGTCAATGAAAGATAGTATAAAGGACAAGAACGCGCCAGAAAGCGCAAAAAAAAAGCGCTGCCAAAACCGCTTATATGAATAGACAACACATGAAATAATCAAATGTCGGATTGTTTAAACAATCAAGCTACAGTATATAGTAGCTGTAGAACATGCTGCATGCTTGATGCTTTAGTCAACAATTCCACACAAATCTGAAGAGCTGAAGAGTGTCATGTTGTGTCTTGACCCTCGCCTTTAGGTGATACATTTCGAAGTGGTGAGTCACGCCGTATTGAGGCTGACGAGGCGGACACCTGTTTTAACGCTCAAGCTCCGAAATCTTCAACACATCAGCGCATGTATAATATGCAATTCATATGCAATTTTGTCCAATTGTCTTACAGACTTCACTAAACTTTTGTGAGTCTATACATGTCTAAACAACTCTATTCGCCAAGAAAGTAATCAAGGAAACAAGCTCTGCCTTGGCATCTGTGCCTGTGAGCCGCACAACGAATATAACTTGAATATCAGTGTATATGTGCCTGTCATTTTTCAACTGTAAACTCGTGCAGCGCCATTTCTTTAAGTCTGGAGAACAAACAACATCTGTCCGCATCTGCAGTAGTAGCGTACTGGGTTGCCTCCGCTGGAGCGCCCAGCAGATCTTGCCCGTCTTACCGGCTCCTGGCCACTGAAAATCGTCCAAAAAGGACAACCCAGTCTTCATGTCTTCATTATTATTCAAACGGTGCGAAATGATAGACGTGGAACTTCCGTGTAATCGACAAATGCCAAAAATGCACCTCCAGCACATCTTTGGAGTGAGGAGTAGTAAGGCCTACCCATGCTGCTGTGGTGCAGTCGGCTTGCCAACAAACATTCTAGTTTGCAGCGCCTGAAGATTGCCCGCCACTTGGACCGTTCCTTGTGCACAAGAATGACAGAATTGCGCCATGTGCAAGTTGGTTGCACGCAAACGCGGCAAACTGTAAGGCAATAGCAAACTGGACGAAGAGACAGTTGAGGCAAACGGTGCCCGACCTTTGGTGTTCTCTGCAGGTCTCATCTAAGTCTTTCTTGTACCATGGTGGCAGAGAGGCGAACTTGACCCAATCATGTAAAGGCTGCCTTTTGATCCAGCAAGTCGCGCTAGTTGTGGTTTGGTTGTTCACGCTTCACATGTGCCATGGTCAAAGCTCCTTCAGTGGGATTGTCATCCTATTCTTACTAAGACCCCTAGCAGGGGTTGCACCAAAGTCACGCAAAAAAGATCCAAAAAGTAGCCAAGTGTTTAGAAGTCTAGACGCTTTTAACCATGGCACTCGTGTTTGCCTCAAACTGGCAAATCTGTGAGCCTGATAACCCAGAGCCTATCACTATATACACAAGCTGGAAGACGGAAGAAGGCTTCTCCACGAAATGCCTGCCTTCCACTTGCAAGGTGTTGTCTTAGCATCCCATGCGCTTCTTTGTCCAAGCTGGAATCTGCTACTATGCATGCCTTCGGATGCTGGACAATGGCCAACGCGACGCGACCAACCCCAAATTGGAAAGGCCCAGGAACTTGCCTCACACCAGAATCTGCGGTGTGACTGACGTCTCATTGCTGGACTTCGACGCCGTTGAAAAGAGGAAAACCTTGAAACGGAGGCCCGAGCGGAGGCAAGTTCAGAAGGCGTTTTCTGTGTGTTTTAACACACGAGGAAAAGAATTGTGTTTGGGTCCCTTCAATAAGCCCTTTACAGGTGCCTTATTGACGGAACCCAAGCACCTTCTTTTCTCCACCGCTTTTGATTCTTTTCTTCAAATCCGATTCTCCAATCTTGCGCAAGTCTCCTCGTCGAAGTACGGCTGGAAAGCTCGAGAGGTCTGGTGACCATAAATGAGCCGTTTTGCCTGCACCAAAGGTCCAATATGCGCCAATAAGGGCCATCGGCCACAAACCGAGAAATTCCCACAACAGCTGATTGTAGCTGGAACTGCTGCCTCATCAGCCACTGTTCGAAAGCTCCTTATGTTTTTACGTGCCTGCACAGAGAATAGTGCTTGTGCAGTGCTCATGTCACAGTCTCTCTCACCTCATATTGCTTCATACGTGCGGCGGCATTTATTTGGTACTAACTCAAATACACTATCTATTATGTGGGGGGCCCTATCTCGTTTAGAGTACTTAAGTAGGAGGTCATGTAACAGTATCTCGTTCAGACTACTTGAGTAGCACACTATCTCGTTCAGACTACTTCAGTGCCATCAAGATCATCAAGCAATACTATCCCGTTTATGTGGGGGCCCTATCTCGTTCTGATAAACAAGCAAATAGAGCATGCCGTAGACTACTTTAGTAAAGTCTAAATAAAAGTGGTTACTCATATGTTCATATTTTTGCATGTCCTTGCTATCCTCAACCGGCTCAAGGGCTTGTCCGCAAGAAGCTGAGCCTAGTTTGAGTCCATAGCTTGGAGAAAGAAGTCTTTTTCTTCGGGGCATATCTATCTATCTACTATGTCAATCTGTGATATCATGCTGAGCTGTTCTGCTCCATGAAGCAGCACAGTGGAGCAGAATGAGCAATAAAATGTACAAGTAGGTAGCTGTCCAGCCTGCTGCACAAAGAAATTCGACAAGAATTGAGTGACTGCAATAGCCTGAGAAGCTGAGGAGGTCAGTGTCCAAAAGTCCCGCATAGTTCTATAATGTTTTGTCTAAACTTCTTAGTTTTTGCGTGTTATGGGCCAAGCATTCTTGGGTCTTGGCATTTGGAGTGTGCAAAGCGAGTACGGCAGGTTGACCACTTGGAAGGAAGCCTTACAAAGAAAGTGCCATGACTGGCAACTGCGTTGAATTCTGGTCTGGCATGGTCTGGCTAAGGTCCTCTCCGTGTTCAAAGGCATTCTTCTCTGGGTGAAATTGAACACCAAACCTCATCAAAGTGCATGCTGATTGAAGGCATTCCTTGCATGAAACTGCTGTCCGATTTATGTTGCCTATGACAATGCTGAGGTAGCGTCCAGGGCAAACCATTCACACCCTCGACAACGCTGACAAATTCCTGTCGGTGCGGTCCCTTCCGCAACCATGCAACCCATCTTCAAGAATCATGAATATGCATTGATGCATTCTGCTTCGGGATGGATAAGTTGTTCGATCTGATCTTGATTCTCTACCCGCCGGTAGAGACTCTATTGCACTCGAAGGTTTGGTCCTTGCCGTCTTCATCAAAGCTCGTTGCAAGGACCTTCTCAAAGCAACAAAGCTGCTTGCGCAAGAAGTCTTGGAGATTGGCCTTCAGCGTCTTCCAAAGTTCAGGTTTCATCCACTCCGCCTTGGCCGCAACGACTTTACAACCACACAATACAGGAAGAAAGTGATGGTAGGTTTGATACAACGGTCAGTAGAACCATTCTGTTCCAAAGGAGGTATGTTCTGGCCGCCTGGCCTTTCCAAGTTTCTGAGGACAATTGCATTGCCAATTGATGTCACTTGTATTCACGTGTATTTCACTTGCAATTCTCTCGTGTGGGTGACCTATGACTTCTAGACCCTGGAACATGGGGCTGGGGCTAGCAGGATTTGGCAGGTGCTGCGAGTCGAGCAAACATGCGGTACAGCGCTCTCTCTCTCTCTCGCTCTTTTTCTTGTCAAACGCGATCAAACGCGTCCTGCTGAAACCAGCTTCCGTGCAGCCATTGTGGCAGAGATGTCGTATCGCATTTCAGCAGCTGCACCAACCCCAGAGACTTCATTCTCAATCTTCTGTACAGTGTCAGCTGCAAAACGGGACAAGCAAGCAATGGCACCAACATTGTCCACAATCTGGGAGGGTCGTGAAGCACCAATAATTGCAGTGCTTACATGCTGATTGTGCAGCACCCATGCCAATGAAAGTTGAGGTAATGAGCAGTTCATCTCTTCGGCAATTGACCGAAGCCCAAATGCTGCAGCTATCTGCTTGTCTTGCTTGGCCAAACTTTCTTTCCTGCCGACCAAAGCTGCTCTGCTGTCAGCAGGCACTCCATTGCTGTAACGTCCTGCCAGGATTCCTTCAGCCAAGGGGGAATACACAGTCAAGCCAAGGCCGTGGGTGCGATAAAGGGATGCGTATTCCCGCTCTACCCTGTCGCGGTGGAACAAGTTGTACAAGGGTTGCTCCATCAGTGGACCTTGCAATCCCAAGCGCATCGCCACACCATGTGCATGTGTGATTTGCTCAGCTGACCACTCACTGGTCCCCCAGTAAAATGCCCAGCCTTAGTCCACAACTTGCGAAGTTGTAATACCCTCACCTACCTCAGTACCAGCCAATTGTTCATACCAACTCCTACAAGATCCTACAAGTGTCAAAGTATAATACCTCAAATCAACATTGTCAATGACACTGACACTTGCCAGATCTTGCCAGCGGGCAGGGCAAGGGGACCCAACAACTGCCAAAAAAGATTATTGGTTCTTTGTCTGCGCCACCTCGGTCGACAATATGATTCATTGCACGCACTGTCTCTTCCATGGGTGTGGTGACATCAGGCCTGTGGCAAAAGACCAAATCCACGTAACTGAGCCTCATTCGATGCAAAGCACTTTGCATCCCTTCGACGATATGCTTCCGACTGAGCCCTCGATCGTTCACCCCATTGCCGCCGTCAAAGATTTTCGTTGAGATCACCAGGTCAGATCGCAGCACCTCTCCCAACTCCAAGAGCTGGTGAAGTGCCTGGTCGAGAAATGGACAAAACGGGAAAACAGCAAAAGTAGCAATCAGTTGGCAATCAAGAAGCCAGCACTCCAAGCAGCTACTGTACTAATCTCGGTATTGATTGGTATCGAGTTAGCGGCCTGCCCCATGATGGACTCCGATTCTCCCGGAAATGCGCCATACACTTCAGCATTGTCTATAAAGTTGATTCCAGACCGAATGGCAGCCTTCAGGATTTCAACCTGGCCCATCTGCACCGATCTGTGCTACGAAAGGGATCATCAGTCTTGGAAAAAGTGAAAGCTTTCAGCCAAGCATCGTGTTTTTCCAGGTTTACCTGACAAGCTTGGCACCACGGACGAAAACAAACCTGTGAACGTGAACGGCCTACACCATGAATTCTTGAGATTTCTTCAACGCTGAAGTAGTTCTACGACACTTTTCCGGATGCCAAGACTGATGGGTGGCCCTGGCTTCCACTCTACCCCAAGAATCCCCCGATCAACCAAGCGCCGCAGAAATATTTGTAGGGGTTTTGAATTCAATGGTGGCCCGCGTTCAGCATCACTTATGGACAACAAATTACTTCTTCTATATGTTTCGCGTGCGCTCTGCAAACCCAGGTACGGCACCAGTCTCGGAAACTGTGAGCCAAGCTCCATAGGAGATTGCCGATACTCGCAGTCCAGACTGACCCAAAGGGCCTTGACATGACAGTCTCTAAGACATTCTGAGGTCTTGTAAGAAAGTGTAATAAAGTAGGGTATGTCAGGGTATGTCATATGTCACAATATATCACAATGTCATGCACCACTCATCTTCAGCATCCTGGATAACTCGTAGTCGCAGGTCAAGCAACCGAGTGGCGGTAGAGCATGGGCGATGCATCCTTGGCACAAGCTGCGAAGGCTGCACGCTTGTCTTGATCGAAGTATGAATGCAATTCCAAACTGAAGCTCTCCACGTCACTCACAAACAACCAGTGCAATACCCAAATCATTGAGCAAAGTAAAGTCTCATACTGATGCAACTGAAGGGCTGGCGAAAAGGGTGACGATCTGTTTTGAGTGCAGCTGCTCGTGCCACTGGTCCGCCAAAGCAAAAGCAACAACAATGGCCACATTGCTAAAGCAATTGAAACTGTAGACTGTTGCCTTGCAAGTTTGATATTCACATATAGCTTTATCAACTTAGTTGAGCATTCTAATCAACATTTGAAATCAACATTTGCCTTTCGTGGCCTTAATTGTTAGGATACTTGCTTGGCTATTCTAGGTGCAGTCACACAACGACACAAAGGACTAATTAGTGCTTCGATCCAGCTGAGGTAGAACATCGATAAAGGTTGTGGACAACAATTTACTACAGTATGTCACCACTGGAAACGCTTGGGTGCGAACTGGTGGTACACCGCGATGGTGTGAATTGAAGGTCACGTTCTCAAACAGCAAGGCCTTTGTGGAAGGAAAGAACAAATCCACATCGCAAAGAACCCAGTATGTGAAGCATTGTAAAGCAAAGGGTGGTAATAAAGCACCAGTTGGGGCCAGAAACCAGGGGACTCATACTTTTTCTGTTACCACAGCAATGGTCTCTGGCCACATCAAAATTGCAATGTGGTAAGCTCAGAACATTCATGATCCGCTGCGTTGCCTTCATTGGAGCTAGGAAGATTTCTAGGCTGTCCATGGGTTCAAGCGCAAATGTGTGCTTCAACATTCATCGTGATCAAAGAATCTGGGCCCATGGGCCTTTTCGAATAATCTTGAGCTTGAAGCTTCTGGCCTTTGCTGGTGTGGACGCTTGGAGCTTCAGAAAGCGGATGTAGGCTGACACACTCAACACGAATTCAGGTCCCACAACCACTGTGGCCCTTGCGTCAAGTGCAGCGGAAGATTGACATTGGACGCCCTGGGACAAAAAAAGACGTCCTTGCTCCTAGTAGTACGGCCAGGAGCCCCTAGTAGCTTCTTGCTCCTAGTAGTAAGGCCAGGAGCCCCTAGTAGCTTCTGGCTCCTAG